AGAAAGACACTGCGGCAACAGGAAAACAGTATTTCCAGCTGCTGAATGTTTCCATCTTCCAAACTAGTTTCCTCCACAATTACAAAAATGTGTGATTGGATTGTTGGACTTCAGATCAGTAGGAGGAGGACAAATAAAGTAATGTAACTAACACTGGTTATGTCAGGGGTAGGCAACCTGCGGTTCCGGCCCCTCTCCAGTGGCTCCCTCTGACTCTGACAAAAAATGATATGGACTTGATAACAATTTTTTACCATTTACATGTATCATAGTTTTAGGCCTAAAGTTACATTCTCCAAATGTAAAATTGTGCAGCCATTACACATTATGTCAACAAAAATGTCATACATCCTGACCTGGCACCTTTTCCTCTATATTTTGCTGATCCTCAATAGCTTTGGCTACTAGTCTTGAGTCTCCCTAGCAAGGCTAGCTATGGACTCCAAATCCCCAAAAAATAAAGGAGTTGTGGAGGAAAATAGAGCATTTAATAGTGTGTGGACAGTAAACAGACAGATTTTTTTGTTATATTTTAGCCAACAATGTCTCTTTTGATAGTAAAGGTTGCTGAGCCCTGGGCTGAAGCCATCAGCTTATGTCAATGAAAAATATTTGAAAATAAATGATTTGGAAATAAATCAATGTATTGATTTCTAATGCCGCATTTAGATATTTCTATTCAGTTCTTTACTAATGTGCCACAGTAGTGTGTTTGAGTTCAAATATCTTCATCTGGGGCTTTTCCAAGCAAATATTTATAATATATATATATGTGTGTGTGTGTGTGTGTGATTGTTTGCAGCATATAGTTCTCTCTACATCCGCCCTATACATATTATAACCATGTTTTGTCTTTATGCAATAATGACTCTCAGGTTACTGAAATGAGTGCTGAACTCACTGATGAAAGCAAGTCTTTGAGACTTAAAGTGCTTTTTATATTAAAGGGAGAATACAATAAAATCCTCTTGAGGATGGATTTTTAGAAAAAACAAGAAGATGCCCAGTAAAAACAAAACAAAAACTTTAAGTATAATGTGTGCTGAAGGAGACTAAAACTTTTCAAACACCAAATTGTGTGTTTTCGGGCCTTAACTGGGAGATTCAGGCCTTTAATTTTCCTGTGTAAGGCAGGTTTGCTTTGAAGTGAAGGATCTCTCACTTTGTTCTTCTGTTTACAGCGCTGTTATGCATGCTGACGTGAGCGCTGACGTTTGCCACATTATGACCCGGCTGCTTATTGATCCCACACACTGGCAACTTCAAGGACAACACCTTAACCTCAAGGTCATCATCAGGCCCGCAGTAAGGCCTCTGGAGAGACAGACACTGCAAACTCTTTAAATATCCAAACCCCTTTTGTTTCCAGTGGTTGAGCTGCTTTTCACACAGACTGTAAGTGTGTATTAACTCTACTCAGTTGCACTTTTGGGGATGTTTTCTGATGCAAAACATATTTTCCAGACTCCACTCTGGGCTGAGTTTCTGATTGGGAGAGGTGTTTGATGATTGAGGGTAATTTATTGCAATTTTAAAGAACACTTCCTGCCGGGGAAACAGATGTTTTTCAAATCATTTCAGACACCAGTGCCATCAGTCATTAGAAATGTCATCATTTTGTTTACAAAAAACTTTCTTTATTGGTATAATTACAGCTAGAAACGTCTAATCAACTGTCTATAGAATATTGGCTGATGAGAGAGTTTTTTAATATATATATATATATATTATTGTATTGCCTATACCCTATAGCACTTAGGTCATGGCCTGTGACGCTGTTGTATGTTCATGCGCACTGGCTCTATTTTATTACAAAGTAATTTACTTCATTTTATTATTTTTTCTGTGATTTATCTTGAAGCACAGGGCGGAAGAACACGTACGTGTGTGTGGTTGGTGGATTAAATGTTCTCGCTCAGTATGATGCATTTAGAATTTTGTGAAAACTTTATAATATTAAAACATTAAGAGGATTGCCAACCCAATGTGTTTATTCTTCAGCACAGTGAATATGAAACATAGTTGCCGGGCGCAGATCACATCCACAGCTGCTGGGTTCGTTTACACAATCAAACTGGGCGTTCTAGAGTTGAATGAAAAGCATGACTCAGTCTATAAAATGAAACTTGTCTGTGTGCTGCTGACCTGTCTGACCCAGGAGACAGATAGACTCATTTTTATGTGATTGCTGCGGCGTGTTTTGTAAATGTAAAACCGACTTGAGGAACTTTTTTGCGCGCAAAACAGCTGAGCTGTTTGCGGCTTATCAGGCCGTGTGGGACTGAGTGGAAGCTGTTTTTCCTTCTGTTTACATGAAAGTAAAAGTTAACCATACTTATAATACCCTGTTAGGGTCTCACGGATTGAGGACTTAATGATATTGTTTAAATAACCCGTCCCGTTTAATGCGGCTCGCTCTGCAGGGATCTTACTTAAACTGTATTATCTGCGCCCACACTGACTATAGAAATATTGCCATAACCTGAAATATTCAGTTTTCCGTGTGAGAGGCGCATTCAGAGTCCTGGTTAACCCCAGACACTGAGCCAGAACGCAAACCCTCCACTGATAAATAACCAATGTCACACACAATAGTGAGAGTTGGCACCGTGATTTCAATGTTATAATAATGATATCCGCCATCGGTCTATTAAAGCTCATGCGGTGCCTTCAATAGAGAAGGTATAGGTCATTGTAGGAGGCCTCGCTGGGGTGAACTGGTGCAGGTCTGCGGCTTATGTCAGTGAGTGAGGAGATGTTTCTCACACTTTAACGCAAGAGAAATAAAAACAAGCTCGATGGAATTCAACACTTGCCTCTTAATTAAGGACAGATAAGCTGAAACAAAGTTTAGCCGCGAATTTAAATCAGAGATCACCTCGTTTTAAATTCATTTTTTACAGGAATTATCCTATCAAAGCCTCAAAAAGCAAACTGATACACAAATAATATTTCGGGCGCTTGAATTAGACCAAATGATTCTACGTTTTTTGTTTGGATTGAATGTAAATATCAATAAACACCGCGTGCACAGAAAGCTGGGATGTCTTTCATATCTGGATATTGACAGTAACTCTGGAAATGTTTGTTCCTGCGGTTTTACTGAGCCTGAACGCATCAGCGCCGTTAACGCCGTTTCAGTCGCCCTAATCTATATTCCTGGAAACTCCTTCCTGTGTCTGGTGTGACTCCTCTGACTGTGCAACCCGCATCAGAATACTGCTCAATACTCCTAATAATAAGAGCACAGGAGCAGCAAATAAACCAATAAAATATAAAAGCAGGTTTCATGTTTGCTGAAACACAAACAGCAGGAATATACTGTCATTCTTTCTGTTCTCCATCAATAATATACTATAATATAATATAATATAATATAATGTATATTATAAATTCAATGAAAGCAGAGCTGTGGACATCATGCTGTAGGCAATAATAACACTGTACTCATTTGCATTAAAATGAACCATGGTAGCATCTTACTAAAAGCTTCAAGCAAATAAGCCTCACAGCACCACACCACATGTAAATATTCGTGTTTTCTCGCAGCAGAAAATTCAAACATTTTTTAGAGAACAAACTACCAAATTCAGGGCAAAGACTGTTTTTTAAAGACTTCCTTTGCTCTGTTTTTCATGAGTTCCTCAGAGGAGTCAGCATTCTTTCACACAACACAGCGAGCAGTAGCACCAACACATGTGTGAATATAACAAGAAACTCTCCAGCTGAATCATATTTTCCTGCTTTTACAGAAAATTGCAGCGCTGAATATTTCTGTCTGTTATTTCTAATGTGGGACTTCAGACCCGGCTAAATATGTCAGGAGACCTTTCCCTGTTGTGGTGGTATGTAACCATATTAGGCCCTGAGCCATGAGAACTGTGTGAGCCTGTAAGCCATCATCATCATCATCACCATCTAATGTACTCATCATGAGCCTTTATAATAAAGAGAGAACAGAATTAGTGAAAATATATTTAATAATTAAACATAGTTACACAAAAGGAATGCAAAACAGACGAGTGAGAGTGGATCCTTAGAATATAAAGGTTAGACCTACTGCAAAGGTTTGAGTCCGCCTCCTCAACAGCAGCAAGTTCGCCATGAGGGAGCTACGACAAAGAGCACACGGCTGCTGGAGGATGTCGGCTCGTACAGTTCAGGTTTCTGCAGAGTCTTTGGAGTCCAGGTTCAGGAGCAGCAGCAGCACCACATGCTGGATTCTGCCCCGTCCTGGAGATACACACAGAGCGTCCCAGAGCTTAGAGTCAGAGTGTGTGTGGCTGCGGCCGGGTCACTCCTCCTGAGTGCTCTCTAAGTGGGAGCTGGAGCCTTCGGACTGGGGGTCAGCGTCAGTGGCGGATCTTTCCTGTTCAGATAGCTGCTCGCTGCTGGGGATGGAGTTCTTCTTCGGACGGCCTTTCGGTTTGGTCGGGGACTCCAGGCCTCCTCCCTGCAACACCTGCAGGGTGGATATCAGCAGGAAAATGTGGTTTGAGTTCAACTACTGGCTGTGATGCACGTTTGGGAAGAGTTTCTTCCCACAGGCTATCAGAGGCTCCAATAATGGACAACAAACTCTGCACTGCAAAGTCTAACAGCCTATCTTAATAAAAGAAGTAAGCTAACAGAACTTAATCCTCCAAAATGTTGGAGTCACTCACTCGCATGAATTAAACCCTACTCAAAAATTAACTGCTGAAGTAATACCTCAGTTGTTTTTAGTTCACTTACATTTGTGTAGTATTTGTATTGGTGATATCATTCCAGTTTGTCCCATTGACTCATTTTCTTTAAATTGACATATAATGACAAAAATGTAAGCCCCAAAATTAATTGGCTACCATTTTGATAATTGATTGATTGTATTTATTTATCATACATCAGCTGTTTTTACAGGTAATATAATAATTTGCTTTAGTGGAAGAAAACCGAATAAATTCCATTGAAGTGGTAACATTGTATAACTATTGAAGTGGTAACATTGTATAACAAAGATTAATTTAAGTTACTCTTACTTTATTCAGATAAATTCTGTTAACTTATTTTAAATATGTTTGGAGAAATACTGCATATGAGTGTAATATACTTACTACTTTAAAGTATAATTACCTTCATTTACATTACCTTAACAATAAATGAGTTACTTGTACTGAAATAAAATATTTTCTTCATGTTTAAATTGTTAATACATTTAAACAGTTTAAGTCCAACTCAGTTTGAGTTTAACTAACTCATCAGGATCAACTTTTACTTTTATCTTTTAACCATGTTTACTTTTTGTATAGGTTCACTATTTTTGTATATTTTGTATATTTTGCTTATTTTGCTTATTTTGGTATATTTCTAGCTAGTATTTTTTTGCATATAGCTTTTATGTTTTCTTGCGCTTGCATTCCGCACTGTGTGGGAGTTTGACGCAACACTTCAGTACTTGAATATGAATGTACATGTGACAAATACAATCTATTGAATCTTGAATAAAAAGAAGGGTGACTTATATCACCTGTAGTCAGTGACAATTCCTCACAACACAGACAAAAAATGTAGTTTCAGACTTTTTTTAAACTCTCAAATTTAAAGATATGACAAATGCCATATAACCCAGGCTATCCCTGCAGACAATAACAGCAGACTGAGTAACTCTCAGCTCTTATATGTGTGCAGTCAGTGCTAATAACTACATTTCCCATAAACATCTGCTGCAATAATACAGAGCAAAAACAACCTATTCTTTGTTCTCACTGTTGGTATTGTTGTTTTAGATCGGTAAAGACCACTACCAAATCATCATCATCATCATCATCATTATTATGAGGAATAACTTACAATCTTCTTCCATTTCATCCGTCTGTTCTGGTACCATGTTTTCACTTGCAGCTGACTGAGCCCCAACGACTCTGCCAGGTCTATTCTGTTTATGGACAAAAGAAAATCAAATTCTGATCATTCAGCGTAATGAACCAGCACGTTCAAGTCATCACAGTGTGTGTTTACAGTACAGGGGAGCAGTGGTGCCTGGAGAGGTGGGTATACTAGTTTATGCCCAATTTGTTTTGTTTTTTAAAGCGGCCCTTCCAGCAATGGATAAACCCTGTGTTATAAACAGTGACATGTACGACCACTCTTGCATATTTAACTCACACAAAAAGGGGCCAGCAGTATTTAAACATTCTAACTTAACTTCTGCTGCTTGACCTCAGACAGTATAAAATTAGCCACAGAAGAATCAATACTGGCCCACAGACGGGTGACACAAATACATAATCATACAGTAAGTATTACTCTATCCACTCATGAAAATGGGACTACCATGTCATGGCTTCACCATCCTGGGTTCAGCTGAACAACAGGCATCAGAGAGGACTTATAAGTGGGTGATCCCAATGCTGACTGAAAAATAAGTGTATGCCCTGTGCTACAATACTGCGGGAGAGCTACCAGGTATTTGTGGTATATCACCACAGTGAGGTCCTGTCCTCTGTATTTTTTGTGAAATTGTGATTTTTACCAACATGTGCACAGTTTACATTCTACTTTTCAAAACTAGGCAACGTTAAGTTATTTCATAGTTAGCAGTGTTTAGACTCATGTTCAGATTTTACTCATTTAATACCAACAAAATAAAAGCACTTTATACTAGCAGTGTGGAAAAGGCTTTAAAATATATTTTTGAGAAATATTATTTCCATAAAATTAGCAGTTAAATGAAAAAATCTAAATAATAGTATTTTAAAAATGGCAACTTTATTTTCCCTTTAAAAAAACTGGTGGCCCCGCAGGCTCCAAACGGACCCTAAACCCACCTGTCAGGCGTGGAGAGGTACTTCTGCTTCTCGAAGCGTTTCTCCAGGCCCATCAGCTGCAGCTCGGTGAACACGGTGCGGCTCCGGCGGCCCTTCTTGGTCTTGCTGCCCCCGTCGGCCCCGTGCTCCAGCTTCCCGCGGAGGTGCAGGTCCAGCGGCAGGTGGTGAGACGCTGCGCCGACCTGCAGGCCCGGACCGGCGGACAGCAGCGGGGAGCCGAGCGGGGAGCCCAGCGAGCAGGACAGCGGGGATATGGGGAACTTGAGGAGGCTCGTCTGGTCGGCCTTTAGCACTGGAGGGGGACCGAGAACACACACACACACGGGGGTTTGTTTCAACAGTGACTGACGGGTTTAGACTAGTTTTACATGAAAAGTCATTATTTTTAAATAACACTGTATGTTTGAGATGTGATTACAGGTTGTCTAACAATGCAGGCTTTTCAGGTCAGAGATCAGGACTTTGTTGGATCCACAATCCCACAACGCATTTAGAATGAATATGGGGCTTCACACTATATCCAACAGCAACAACAAAGGGGCCTTGTCACCCGGTGGGCCTAAAACGTCAATTAAGCCCTCTGTATATTGTCATTTTATTATTATAATTATGGGTTATGCTATTTCGATCTATATTTAGGTTTATTATCATGTGGTTGAGTCTTAAATTCAAATTCGGGTTGGTAATGTGAGTCACCATTAAACAAATCAAAGCATGTGATGTACAGTCCCAGGCCTTTTTTACACTTATGTAATATATGTAAAAAATAATAATCTACATGTTACACCTGAAATAATCCTTTTATAATCAGAAACAACATTCATTTCAGCGGCTGTTCCGGTTATGTGGATGTGATAGAAAGCGTCCCGTTTTTCTTTCACATTTTGAAGATATAAACTCATTTTGGCCACATGAACTATTACACTGGAATATTGTTTTCACGCTGGAATATGAGTAAATATTGTAAACTGTCTCAGTCGTGTATTTATTTATCCGAGGAGCGCTGCTTATCCTAGAGAGAAATCCACCTTTTACGCATGCGACTTAGAAATATTATTTCGCATATTTAAGCTTGTTTTTTGCCGTTAGTTATTTTTATTAATACAAATAAAAACACTTAACAATATGAATGTATCTTAGTTATTTCCTTTAGTTATATCTGACCTTTGCGTAATTATTATTGTAACAGTGCGCACTCATTGTAGTATTTGCCATAAAATCCTCCAAAAAATGTAATGTTATCACTAACAATAATAATAACAATCCATTTTATTTTTTATCTTTTATCTTCAGTTCAGTTGTTCCAGCATGAAACCAGAAGTAATCACCGTTCCCCAGCAGGCTCTCTTACCCAGCTGGCTGTGGAAAGGCCGGGCGGACAGGAGAGCATGTACCCCGAATTTAAGCAGCTCTCCGGCCGGAGCCGACGCTTTGTGCTCCGGGTGATCAGTCAGGATCTCCTCTATCATGAAACTCCTGTAGCGATGAGTCCTGTGGTCTGGGTGGATCTCCGGAGGATAGTAATGCGCCCCCATGTCCAAAGGATGCTGCATAATGTGGCTGTGCGGTCACCAAGCGCGTACACCGATTCTCACTCCTTTCAGTGGCCCAGGCCGGCTGTCATATTCCCCCCGTGGTGCCTCTGTTAGTCCCGCAGATCAAGAGCGTAGTTATCCTCAGGTTCTGGATCAGGCAAAGTAATGTGCAGGTAGCCGAGGTCTCTGCGCGTCCTCTGCGGGTTTTACGCGTTACTTCTGGTCAGCTTTGGTTCTTTTTGGAGACGCAATCTGGTTCCGAGAGCGAACCTTTGACCAAAAACTCCCGAACCCGGTCGTGTTCATGCCCGCTTGCTGTGTGTGTGTGTGTGTGTGTGTGTGAGTCTGAGCTATTTGTCAGCCGCTGAGCGCGTCAACTTGGCAGTGAGTTGAGGAATAAGCTTTGGGTTTTATGAGTCTCGTCATGGCTCCACCTCTCCTCCGCTGGGTTTGTCTGCTCGGTGCCTCCACTGAGCCAAAGTTACATGCAAAGCTGCACTTGTTGCGTGGATTTATATGCAAAAGAGAAGAAAATAAGGAGCTAAAACGACGGAGATTTTAAATACCCTGCAGGTGACTTTGCAAGTTATTAGGCTTTTAGTTTGATGATGATGATGATGTTAGGCAGTTACTGCAACACATGAAGCTGCAGGTTATTGGTTAAAATTATAGCAAACATGATACCTTTCTAAATAGTTCTGTGCAAAGTCACCAGTGCGTTTTTATTCTTGTGTGAAGATTTGAATCTATCAGGACATTAGCCTACTGGATGCATTGGTCAGTGGTTGTCAAACCGCAGGGGCAGATCTAGAGAAATATCATGGGGTTTCCAGAGTGTAGCATTGAGACTTTAAGGGGTGGCAGAAATATACGCTGATTTTATCGCAAACCATCACATATGTCAATATTTGCTTGGAAAAGCCCCCAAACGAAGACACGTTAAAGGTCCAGTGTGTAACATTTAGGAGAATCTATAGTCAGAAATAGAATATAATATTTATAAGTATGTTTTCATTAATGTATAATCACCTGAATATAGGATTCGTTGTGTTTTTGTTACCTTAGAATGAGCTGTTTTCATCTACAGAGTGAGCGGGTAATCTCTACGGAGGCCACCAACCGCCATGTAAGAAAGAAATAGAAATCTAAAAGTGGAATTAGTTTTATTATTTTTCCAAATGCATTCACTGAACGTAAGCCTATCACTTTGTCTAACATGTGGCCACAACAGATCATTAAATAAATTTCTATTTTTCAACACCTTATTTTTTATTAATGAATAAAATGATTAATTAATCTAAATTAATGTATTCAATTTGACAGCATTTGACAACAAACTGGGGTGACCAGGCATCTTTTTAGCTGATACCCCATGCCATCCCCTCTGAATCTGCCCCTGTCAAACTGAGCTCTGGGGTCCAGTGGGGTTCCTTGAGTGGGTTGTAGGGGCTCCCCAGTAAAAGGAGGAATATAATATTTGAAGTTTTATCATATCAATTTGAAACAACAAGGGTAGAAATAGAGTTGAGCGTTTAATCATTGATTGACTGTGAAGACTTTATTATCCTCAAACTGGGTGTCTAATGTGGATCTGTTGTGGGGGTTATTGACATGAAAACGTTTGGGAGCTGCATTAGATTCTTGCCAATAGGTTGTGTTTTTGCAGTTGTACAATTAAGCGTACATATTTTTGCCAAGAAAATTATTTAGAAATCAATTTGATATTTTTAATTGTACTGTTTTGTCTAATACTGCCAAAATGTTGAACATACGTGATCCAGAGTCATTAGAGACAGTCCAACCTCAGCTGATGCTATCGGGTTCATGAAGCCACTGAGGCAGCTCAAGGGGAAATGTTTCATTCTAGAGGTCAAAGAAACCAAAGCCAGAGCACCTCTGGGATTTTTTCCTTTGCAGTTATTTGGCTGAAAAATTGCAAAATATCTACCACTGCATATTTTTAGCACGTCTAAGGGCTGTTTTGAGAAAAAAAGCTCTGGCCTTCTTAAAATCCACCCTGGAGCTGAAAGACCTCAAAAACCTTTGGATGCGTCAAAGTTGGTGGTCTGTTTAAATCTCATTTTGTTTGAAGCTTTTGTTTAAAATATGACACAGCAGACTGTATAGGCGGAGCAGGAACTGATATGACAGATATTCCAGATAACACAGCACAATTCAAACAGGATAAACTGAGCTTCTCCTAGTTTTTGCCTTTTAAGTGAACGTGTTGGAAACAAATTGACTTAACAATCAAATGTGCATCTCAAAAAAGGTACTTAATGAAAGAAAAAAAAGCATGAGAATGGCGAAATATGTGCTACTGAGAAAAATATTGCAGCTTTAAGTGTGTAGAAAAGTGCAGGACCCCTTTATGGACAGGAGTGAAAGTCTAGAGAAAAGCATCTCCTAAAACAAAAAATGTTTGGTTCGAGCAAATGATGCCTTTATTGGTCGTATATTTACAAATGATCAATTACATGGTTCATGTAAATCATAATCAGTCTTATTCCGTATAATAACATATTGTAAAAGGCCTGTCTCTTTAGCTGCAGCTTTGAAGATGTTTTTTCCATCTACAGTCTACCAAGTCAACCAGATATTTATGTGAAACACTCAGGGACAAGTAGTGAGGTCCAATAAGTTGTTCAAATACACACAGTGCTGTCTGCTGCTGAATTAGCTAGGATTGTTGGAACATGTCTTCCTCTGCTGGTCACTTTGGAGATTGCAAGGAGAGTTTCCCTGCCGGAGGACAATTACTATCATAAAACAGTGGTTCCCAACATTTTTCCCTAAGGGACCCCTTTCTATCACCTCTGACTAAG